TGTTTCAAATTTCTCATTGTACACAACAAATTTCAACATTTTTTTCCAATTATACAAAAAAAAATCAGCCTAAAAGAAGTCTTGAACACCTTTTCCGATGAAAACACGATCGGATAGTTCAGCCAAAATGAAATTGACGGTGAGCAAAACGACGCTTGAACCGGCGATAACACCAAGCACGACTCCGGTCGTTCCGAGAACTTTCCGAAACTCCGGCCACTCAATCTCTTTCACTTCCTCCGCAACTCCACTCAAAAACTCGTTCTTCCCTTCCTCCTCCGCCGCTTTTCTCTGCTCCATCGCCGCTTTTATCTCTGCTCCTATCTCGTTAATCTCCACTTCCTCCTTATCTCCGTTTCCCCTCTCTCCCGGTGACGGAGTCGCCTCTGATTCCGATTCAGATCCCGCCGTGTCCCGGCTCTGTTCGATTGCTTTAGCCACCAGATACGACGATTTTCTCAGAAAACTCCTCGCCGGCGTTCTAATCTCAGAGGAAAACGGAATTATGCGGCGAGTGGAAAGTGAAGGTTTGATCGGAAAGACTGATTCCCGGATGCTTCTGGTTATTCCGGTGATCGGCGGCGAGAATTGTGCGGCCAGTGACATTTTTCTCACGGAATTGAGATTATTTTATTTTTCTTAATTTTAGAAAATTTTCTCCGTTGTGGATAATTCACAACAGATACAGCAATGAGTATAGTAGTGAATAGTGATGCTACATATCTGGGCCTTATAAAAAGCCCATAAATCCCAAGTATTAATAGATAACTTATTTAAAATAAAATTTAAAAAACAAAGTTTTATTATTCTAAAAACCAGAGGAAATCAATCGGAATCAAATCGATTGTGATAGAGAATTCTCCGGCGATGACGACGGTGACGTTGACGGCGAGGGAGAAAGTAACCAGAGGAGTGTATCGGCGAAAGCAGATACGATGAATCTGTGAGTGTGTTTCGGATTCAATGAGAGATAACAAAATAGCAATTCGTGCAAATATTCTCTATCGGCGCCAATGTCTCTCCTCGAAACCCTAGCTTCAATCATCTCTCTCATCGAACTTCCGAAATCTCTGTACGGATCCGATGAATCTATATGCTTCATAATCGCCATTCCTCCGCTTAAAATCTTCGACACGGCGGCGGAATTT